CTAAAAATATAAGTATGTTGGTGACTCGCCAGACAACCAAAAGGGACTTCTTTGTTTACTGGAAAATATATCTCCGTCAGCCAATGAACTGTGACCTTGTACTAGAGAAATTTAATCTCGAATATAGACCAGCAGTTCGAATTATTTTTAAATACTATGGAATTGATTAAAGTATGAATTGCCTTACCACATCTGGGTCTCCCTTTAACTTTACTCCCTTTTACTTCAGTGCCATACTCGTCGACGCACCAGCAGTACCCTGTTGTCATGTGACACTGGACTACCTCGAAGCCTCCATCGGCTTTGCATTCAGGAACATACATTCCCACAGTTGGAACACTCCTAGGGCCTAGAGCCTGACGTCGCTGGATTTGGCACGGACTCAGCCAGGCTTCGATAAAAATTAAACCACAACGTTATACTTTTGAAATCGGAATAAGTAACCAAGAAGGAAGCTCTTAATTTTGGTGACTAAAATGGTGGTGGGAAAAGAAGCAAAGTATTCGGGGGGCATTTAACTTAAGCTTGCTTTAAAGTCGTCATGGTATGTTTGGTTTTGCAAATCATTCTGACTGAATAGCTGAGGAATGTAAAAGCTATTGAGTCCAAAGACAATGCTTCCAATACAACTACTGCTTACCAATTACAGAGCAGTCCACCTTCTCATTGGATCGGGTCCCCGGTATTTCACTTCCGTTTGTATCAACACACCAGCATTCTCCTGTCAATTGAAGACACTGCATATCGTCAAAAGAACCATCGACATTACAGTGGGGAACAAAATGTCCGTTTGGAGCGTCATCGAGACATTCTTCCCGGCGGGAGGAACAAACAGTCATTTTTTTATCTGTTAATGAATGAAAAAAATGTAAATTCAAGGCTGGTTAAAGCGTTATCTATTATAATAAAAATAGTAATTATGATAGTAATGATAATACGATTGATAATGATTACAATGATAATTGCCTCATGTGATTTCATGTGCCACGCAATACCTTTCCATCCACTACCACAACGTCTCTAATAGACATACCTATATGGGTACAGTTTGGTATTCCCCATTGTCGAGTCCCAACCAGTTCGCTTCCATGCTTGTCAACACACCAACAGAATCCAGTCATATTGTTACACTGTACCGGGTCAAACGAGCCATCTGATAGGCAGCTTGGTATAATCAATCCGACTAATGTTCTACTGCGCATGGTCAAAGCTCTCTTCTTCTCCATCTGACACGGTGTCATGGAAACTTCAAAGTACAAGTGATAATGTCAGCAATAATAGGCCCCTCTAATTGCATCATCTGAACGAATTATTGCAGTAATTTTAGTTTTGTCACAGTACCTTGCATGGTGCAGTTAGGTTTTCCAGTTTGTCTAGATCCTGGGATTTCATTTCCATCTCTATCAACACACCAGCATACACCACTAGACTCAAGACATTGATATCCCTCGTAACTGCCGTCAACCTTACAT